TCCACCTATCTTCTCCTCTATCCACCTCCCCCTCTCTCCCTATTTATTTCAGAACCTCCTTCCCCTCCCCCATTTCTGATGAAGGGTCTAGGCCCGAAACGTCAGTTTTCCTGCTCCTATGATGCTGCTTGGCCTGCTGTGTTCATCCAGCTCTACACCTTGTTATCTCAGCATAATTCTGTTCATGTTTTGTTCAAAATGTGATATTGAATAATGAGCATCACGATCAGTTTTGATGCTTGGTTAACAGAATTGAGTTATTATTCATTCACTCAAATTTTCAAGTCTAAACGGCAATCTAACTTTTACAGTTTAAAAGTTGGATCTCTGCACTAAAACTAGTCTTTTTTGCATTGGTATACAAGTGGGAAGATTGCATTTTTCAAACTCGTGGATAATAAGCTCTGGGAAAATGAGAAAGCTTTCTCTAACTGCACATAAATAATCAAGCACTTCCAAGTGAGGTCATTTCACAGATCAGATCAAAGTGGGAGAAGCTGACTGAATCACGTGATTAAACCATAGGATTTCAAGGATAGCCCAAATGTCGTTCCTAGAAGGCGCATCCTGCCCACGAGTTTACTCGAGATCTCATTTAAAAGATGACACTAGGGATTTCTAAATCAAAATGGAGTTGATTCCACACAGCCACAGGAAAGGTAAACTTGTTATCACCTGTATAAAAACTTAAAGCTACACCCTAGTCAAAAACATAATTCTCTAATATTCTATTAATTTTCCATCCAGTTTTTCTCGTAGCTTTCAATCAGATCATAAAAGCATATGGTAACAAAATTATGAGCATCTTTGAACTTACAGGATGCAAAATAATCAGTGCTATTTAAAGGGTTCTCAAATAAATATTTGCACAACAACCATTGAGACTTTATGTTCTCATGGACGCATTTCATGTATGTCTAGTTCATGTTGAGTCAACTGAATATATCAAATTATACTTGTGACGATAGAAAATTCCAAAGTTGGACTAAGAAAAATCACTGGATTTTAAACAGCCAGCAGGAAGGTACCATGTATCCTGTAATTTGTTTTATTGAGAAAAGGATTAAACTAAAATTAGATAAGATTCTGGTCCCATGGCCATTGTATCAATATCTAAAACCTCAAAAAAGATTAAAAACAACTTGCAGTCCTCAATTCCAAAAGAGGGTTTTCTATCCAAACAGTTAAGAAAATTCCTACATCTTGGGATTTGAACGTTATCTCTATCACAACCTATTCTGATTTTTTTTTAAAAAGAAAAATGGTTCTTCAAAGAAATCAAATGATTTTAGTTTTCTAAAATTTTACTAAGTGAAAATAAGTCTCAGTTTTAGACAAACTAATATTTTACAAACATTTTTCTTTTGCCCGAGTCCCAAATTTAAGGTAAAGCATCAAAACATACATCTCAAGTTTATCCTCTTTGCCAAACTCCTTCACAAAGACCCCCAAATGGTAATTCTGTAACAATGGCAAGTATACAATTTTATTATCTACTGCTGCAGCCAAAGGTGACACAATAAGACTCAGTTGTTAAGCTACAGAAAATGGACAGGACCATGTGACATATGGATTAAATTCATCTTGCACTCCAATGTACACAATTTAGTAGGTATGCTAGTGGTGGGTTTCCAGTTCCACAATTGTCCATTCCCCCTGCGGAGATACAGATTCTTCTGGGGAAAAGCTGGCCACTGTAATGCTAGCTGTGGAGTCCTCTGAAGGAGACAGCAATTCAGTCCATTTATACCAAGCCTCTTTTTCAACTGCAATTCTACCTGGAGTCCTACAGGCATCTCTAGAAAGGAAGAGTGTTTGGTTGATCAGATACTTTGCTAGGTTGATATCTTCAGGTAGACAGTTAACAATCCCACAATTTAGATCCTGATCTCCAAGAAGCTGCTTAAGTAGTATCCAGTCTCTTTTTGCAAAGTGTTCATTTTCTTCTTGGTGCACGTGGCTCACCTCTACCTCTGAACTCCGATCCACATCTTCTATTATTTCCATCTCGTATATGGGAGAAAGGGTTTTTGAAGGGCGACGATCAAATGTGCAGCTTTGTGATCTGTCACAATCAGCTAAGTTTCCTGAAACAATTCATAATACTAAACATTGTAAATATTCTGATATTGAAAACCTTCAAAATGGGGCTGCTGCACACTAGACTACTTTGGAAGTATTTTGATTAATAGACTGAATGCAATAATGATCAAAAAATTTCTAAAACAGTTTCTGATAGACTCAAGGGCAGGAGCAGGATAGAAATTAATACAGGTTAAAAGATGAAACAACAAAGGCACATGGCCAAAAGGGGAATGCTTAAAGTAAAATTAATGTTACTTATCCAATTAGATTATCCAGAAACAAACCGGCAATGTTGAAAAATATCATACGAATGTTCTATGTATTCATCTGAAATTGGTTCTCATTTTCATACAGACACTCATTGGTTTAAAATTAGTAGATTCCTAAACTTTGCTAATAGTATTTTTCACAAATTATGTTCTATGATAATTCTGGAGCATCTGATTCCAGTAAAATGAAAATTAACAGGACATTATGTAATTTATGGATAATGCTGTAACCTCTCAGGTCCTGGGATAGCAAGGTACATCAAGATGAGCAGCTGCACTAGGGCCCGTGTCCATGGCCCTTACGTTACTCCAAATGACTTGTGGAACATTTACTGGTCATGGATAAATTTTAAAAGTGTCCTCATGATTTAGACCCGACTAATTGATAAAAAATTAATTTGTGGATTTAAAGTGGTTTAAACCTCAATTGTCATTCTAACTGGATGTTAGAGGCCATGTGCTAATGTTTTGTGTAACTACTTGATCTGATTTGTTGTTCGGTACAGTGCTACAGATGTTAATTTTTAAAAAAAATTAAGTAAAGGAGGTCAAGAAAATCTGATGCAGTTTATTAGGTTAGTAAACCAGTTAAAAGATCAACCATTCATCAAGCGAAAAAAACCTCAGCAAAAAACCTTAATTGTCATTGCTAAGCAACCAGAGAGCCAATAATTAAACAATCATTGAAATACATTTGGCAGACTTTAACTTATTAGGAACACGAGCACAAAATTTTAATTACATCCTGGACAAAACATACAGTATTCATAATACATTTTGCTGGACAGTTACCTCAAATCTAATTAATTTTGATTTACAGAACTGTATACAAGTACTGCTATTAACATTTCAGTGCAAATGTAGTTTAGGTTCACTCATCAATTGGCAAAGGTGACATTTTCCCAGTGCCCAGAGACCAAACCACTTTAACTTGTTTGACAAGTGTGAAAACACACTTGCAAATCAGTCTTTGCAAATAACTCCTAAAATCTAATACTTTGGCATTCCAACTGCTTGAAGGACCGTGTTAGTTTGATCTTGCATGCCTAGTTCCACAAGTTCAACATGCAACATATCTCCAAGGTAGACTTACCAACATCTGTTTTAATACATTAAACGATATTACACATATAAAATACATGGTTTTGGCTAAATGATCTTTAATGTCATACATAAAAAATGGCCAGAAGATCTGAAGTGCAGGTTCTCTTTTCTTTCAAGAAATTGTAATTAAATATGAATGAACTAAATTCCCACAGTATTCATGCTAACAATTAGTGGAAGAAGTGTACATGTTCACATTTAAACAATTCAGGGTATACTCCTCCTACTTTTTGTACCTTGAAAACTATATTCCAACAGTTCCACAAACTAAAGTGATGTGGTCTTACTGTTACTGCTCTACATTTTGGCAATTTGACACAGAAGATTGAGTGCTGTCTTCCGACCAAGTGGTTTCTGTTGATATCAAAGGTTAGTTACAATATACATTACCTGTTGGCAAAGTATTATTAGTTTGCTCATTGATTGTGGAGTAGTAAGCTTGCCCATGCTCTTTTTCCATGTTAGCTAAATGCTCATTTGTAGCAACGTCATCACTATGTACACCAGAATGTCCTTTCTGGCAGAGATGCAAATGGCACGGTCTTTCTTGAGGTCTACTGTCACCACCATCACCTGCAGGCTGGATGTTATTTTTTTCAGGCAACATGTTATCCTCAGATTGGTTTTCAAGCAGGTTACCTTCCATCCGGTCACTGCCTTCATGCTTATTTTCTCCTCCATTAAGAGGTTCATCACATTGATGGGATGCAGCAGGTTCAATACCTACTTGTTTTGTCTCTTCTATTTCTGTTGAAACAACCTGTGGCAATGAATCGTTAGCTACCATGTTAGTTTCATCTGCAGGTGGTGAAGCACTGGGCTCCTTTGTTTGTTTTTTGGCCTTCTCTTGAAGGTGGCTATACACCAAAAAATCATCATCAATTTCCAGTGAGTACCGCGAGTAATAAGTTCTGCCATAACGTTGGTGACCACTGTCATGGGAACCACCATCAAATACATCTGAGGGAGTAAGAGAATCAAAAGAGCAGGCAAGAGGACTTCCAGCTTCTCCTTCATCAGAACCCAACTCCTCACATTCATCCACAGACAGCAGAACAGAACGTTTAAAGTTTGCAGCTGAAGAAAAGTTTGTTACGTCAGTCTCATTTTCTGTAACGTCTTCAAAAGCCAGGTTGTCAATGCCCTGAAAATGGTAAATGCCCTGGTCAGGAGGGGGTAGGGGTGGAGGTGGAGGAGGAGCAGGAGCAGCAGCAGCAGGGGAAGGGAAAATTTCCTCTGCATTCTCAATCTCTGACTTATCTTCTTCAGTCACTTCACAAGACGACAAAAGATCTGAGGCAGGATCTAATTTATCACCATCAGGCACAGCATTTTCTTCACTACCCCTTTTCATTGCTTTAATGCCTGGAGATATTTTTGGACAGTGATTAATTAGTGATTCTCTTGTATTAGCACCTCTTGTCTTCCCATGTGGCTCCATACCTTTCACTTTTACTTCTACTCTTAATCCACTGTCATATTCCTTAAGCTCTTCAGGCGTGCTGGTATCACTGCTACTTCTCCCAAGGAAGTCATGGCATACAACTGTACTGCACTTGGAAATGCCTCGCTCATTTGATCCATCATCATCCTGGGAACCTCCGGCATCATAGTCTTCTGAATTAGGTTTTATGTCATCAGATGATGTCGTTGCACTTCCAGTGTCTGTGTCTGGGCTTTGCTTTGGGAAAGATGCATCTGATGCTGGGTAGCCTTCTGTGCCCAAGTTCCAAGATTCCACTAGTTGAGCTTCTGAATGTTCATGACTTTCTGGGATTCCTGACTCAACTACTTCTTTAGGCGAATCCAACGGAACTGGTTTTTCATCTTGTTTTAAGCTATATTTTGCAGCATCACCGGTTTGGTCAAATGAGTGAGTCAAAATTGTTGTACTGTTTAGTTGAAATATACCTTTATTTAGAAGAGACCATTCTTCATGATCCCCACCTTTAAAAGGATGGCCAGCTTTAATTTCTTCAGCAAAATTAGTCTGTCTTTGAAGAGGAACTTCCTTCGTTTTCTCACAGCCATTAAAAATCGATAGCTTTGGTTCAGAAGATTCAGTTCTTTGGGATTCTTTATTTGCAGTTGAAGAATGATCTTGAGCTTTATAATGTTCGGTCTTCAGTTCAATGTCTTTAGATGGCTTTTGTATTGTATGAGCTTCAGAATTAGCTGCAGAAGTCATATCTAAAGCTGTTTGTACTTTTTCTGATGTACAATGATTTACTTTTTTAACATGGTTAGATAGGTTGCTGGAGGTAATGATTTGTTGCGAATGTCCATATGTCAAAATGTGGTCTCCTTTTGCCAAGCTACTATCTTGTAAAGCAGTTGGTATTTCTACATTCTGGCAGAGCAGTGACCAATTATTTGGTCCCATCTGATCACTTATCTCTGTTCCACTTTTCATGTCATGGCATGGAGAATTTGGAGCCGCCTTGTCGTGACAACTAGAGGCAGATCTTTTTAGGCTGGAACTTGCTTTGGTTGTCACTGGAAGCAATTTAGTCGATGGCTTTCTAACATTGGGTAGAGATGCACTTTTCTCTTTCAGTGCAACCTTACTGGAATTAATAGGTGTCCGTGGACTTGTGGCACCAAGTAGCGTCATTTTCCTTGTATTTGTCCTTATTGTGGAGAGGGCAGCTGCTTTTACTGGTTTAGAATTATTAGTCTTTGTAAGGATTTCATTAGCCATTATTTCTTCACAGTTTGGAACTTTGGTAGGTTGTTTTGAAATAGGGTCTGTTTTTTCAAAACCCACTGTTCCTCCTTTTGGATCTAGAACAATAATAAAAGGTTAAAATCATCAAAAACTGTACAAAATATCATAATTCTGAAAAGATTCAAGTATCTGTAATATGAATAAAGAAAAATACTTTAGGGTGCACCATAAAAGTAGCATCAATTGCATGTACAGTAAACTTAGATGTAAAGGTCACTATGAATTTTAATTTTAGTACACAGACTCTGATCCTGTGAATTATTTCATGTAATTTACAACATCATAGCATGTTCAGTACAGAAGCCATGAACAGCATTTGTGCTCCCCTCAAGCCTCCTCATATCCATAATCAAACCCCACCATCACAGGCTTTTACTCCATTCCTCCTTTACATGATTATCTAAGCCTCCTTTTAAATGTGTTCAAGATTGCCAGCTACTTGTGACTGAGGTCCACATTCTTATCACTTTCTAGGTCAGGAGCATTTTCATTACGGAAAGGGACTGCAGTTGTGTAACAAGAGGTTATTATAATCAGGAAGGGTTGAGGTTATTCTGACTGATGCAAGGCCTTTCGGAAATCTTGAAGATTACGAAAGGCAGGAGAGGCAGAGTGGTTTTCTTGATTTTTCCACTTTCTTTGATCGTAAGACATTTCTGAAGATACCAAATGTAAGTTCAACTGTGCGTGCTCACACTGTTTCCTTTTTAAAAACAGACTGAATGGATTAGTGCAATAAAGCCAATTTTTAAAAAAATAGGCTAGAGACAAAAAACTGCAGACGTGGAATCCAAGCTAGACAAACAGGAGGCTGAAGAACACAGCAGGCCAGGCAGCATCTGGAGGAAAGGAGCAGTCAAAGTTTCGGGTATTACCCTTCTTCAGGGCTGGATGTGGGGGTAGAGGGAGCTGTAGATAAAAATGAGGGTGGGGGGGTGGTGGAATGGTGGTGAGAGGTGGACATTGATGGTAGGTACGACCTGATTGTCTGATGGGAGGAATGAATCCGGTTAGTGCCTGGAAGGGAGGGTCAGAAGGTGGAATGGAAGGGAAGAGGTGGGGCTGGAAGGGAAACTTATTTGAAATTGAAGAACTCAATGTTGAGTTCTCAGGGCTGTAGGGTGTGTGTGCAGAAGATAAAGGTGTTGTTCTTCAAATTTGTGTTGAGTCACTGCAACACTGGAGGAGGCAGAGGATGGACATGTCAGAGTAGGAGTGGGGCAGGGAGTTGAAATGGGCGGTGATCGGGATGTTAGGTTGGCTGTTACAGACCAGGTGGAGATGCTCGGTGAAGTGGTCACCTAGTCTACGTTTGGTGTCACTGACAGAGAAGAGCACATTGGGAGCACCAGATGTAATAGATTAAGTTGCAGGAGATGTAGGTGAAGCTCTGTCTCACTTGGAAGGGCTATTTAGGGCCCTGAATGGAGGTGAGGGAGGTGGTATGTGGACAGGTGTTGCATCTTTTACAGTTACAGGGGAAGGTACCAGGCAGGTTGGAATGGTTGGTTGGGAGTGTGGCGTGAACTAAGGAGTGGATGCTTTTTTCAAACAACGCTCTTTCCCCTCCTGTCATCCAGGCAGCTCTCCACCACACCTCTTCCATTCCCTGCTCCACTGCTCTTAACCACCACTCCCCCCGCAAGACATAATAAAGATAGGGTCCCCCTTGTCCTCACTTTTCACTCTACCCGCCTCTGCATCCAAAATATCATCCGCAAAACACTTCCGCCAACTCCAATTGGACACCACCACCCAGAATATCTTCCACTCCCCACCCCTCTCCGCCTTCCACACAGACCATTCCCTTCTGAACTCCTTAGTTCATGCCAAATTCCCCACCAACTATTCCAACCAGTCCCATACCTTCCCGTAACCGTACGGGATGCAGCATCTGCCCACATACCACCTCCCTCGCCTCCATTCAAGGCCCTAAACAGCCCTTCCAAGTGAGACACGGCTTCATCTGCATCTCCTCCAACCTAGTCTATTGTATCCGGTGCTCCCAATGTGGTCTTCTGTACGTCAGTGAGACCACACGTAGACGAGGTGACCGTTTCACCAAGCATCTCCACCTGGTCCATAACAGCCAACCTATCCTCCCAGTCACCGCCCATTTCAACATCCCGTCTCACCCCCCTCTCCGATATGTACGGACTTGGCCGCCTCCAGTGTCGCCACGACTCAGAATGCAAATTTGAGGAACCTCGCCTTATCTTCTGCCTGGGTATTTTACAGCCCAGAGGACTCAACACAGTTCTCCAATTTCAAATAACCTTGCCACCCATCCCTCACCTCCCTTTCCAGCCCCACCTCCAGCCTTACATTCCATCTTCTGACCCTCTCTTCCAGCCACCAACTGGATTCATCCTTCCCATTGACCAACCAGGTTGTACCTACCACCAGTGCCCACCTATCACCACCATTTTGCCTCCACCCCTTCCCCCTACCCCCACATCCAGTCCTGAAGAAGGGTAATACTCGAAATGTTGACTGCTCCTTTCCTCCAGATGCTGCCTGGCCTGCTGTGTTCTTCCAGCCTCCTGTTTGTTTATTTTTAAAACAAATTTGTTTAAAAATTCAACTATAATTTTTTAAACAAAGTTTTGTGTTTGTTAAGGGGTAGTAGGAACTGCAGATGCTGGAGGATTTGAGATAACAAGGTGTAGAGCTAGATGAACACAGCAGGCCAAGCAGCATCAGAGGAGCAGGAAAGCTGACGTTTCGGGCCTAGACCCTCCTTCAGAAATTTGGGTTCGTTAAGCTGTTTAACATTTCATTTAAATTTAGTTCAGACATTTTTCTGCTGCCGCACAGGGTTTCAGCAGAGTCATACAGCATGGAAACAGACCCTTTGGTCCAACTAGTCCAAGCCAACAACGTTCCCAAACTAACCTAGTCCCATCTGCCTGCATTTGGCTCCTATCCCTCCAGATCTTTCCTACTTATGTACTTGGATGCCTTTTAAGTATTGTAACTGTAAGTGCATCCACCACTTCCTCTGGTAGGAGATTCAACACTAACCACTGTGTAAAAAAGGTTGCCCCTTGTGACCCTTTCAAATCTTTCTCCTAGTTTTGAACTCCCCTACCTTAGGGAAAAGATTGTTGTTATTCACCTTACGTAGGACCCTTATGATTTTATAAACCTTTATAAGGCCATTCTTCAATCTCGTACATTCCAGTGAAAAGTCCCAGCCCTGTTTTTATAGCTCAAACCAACCGTTCCCAGCAACATCCTGGTAAATCTTTTCTGAACACACTCCAGTTTTAACAATATCCTTCCTATAAAAGGAACCAGAACTGCACAGAGTACTCCAGAAGAGACCCCACCAACATCCTGTACAAATTCAATATTACAGTCCCAACTCTTCTACTCAAAAGTTTGAGCAATGAAGGCAAGCATGCTAAATGCTTTCTTAACCACCCTGTTTACCTGTGACACAGATTTCAATGAATTATATACCTTAACTCCTAGGTCTCTCTGAACTACAAGACTACCCAAGACCCGATCATTTATAAGTCCTGCCCTTGTTTGTTTTACCAAAACACAATCTCTCACATTTATCCAAACTAATCTCCATCTGCCATTCCTCAGCCCATTGATACAATTGGATCAAGATCTCCTTGTAGGCTCAGATAACCTTTTTCACTTTCCACTACACCACCAATTTTGGTGTTTAACCATAAACTTACTAACCATGCCTCCTAATTTCTCATCCAAATTGTTTATATAAATGTCAAACAAACAAGGTGAACCTAGTACCAATCCCTGTGGAACATAATTGGTCATAATCCATCCAAAAAACAACCCTCCACCACCACTGTGTCCGACCGTAAAGCCAATTTTGTATCCAATTGGCAAGATTACCCCAAATCCGATGTGATTTAACTTTACTAATTAGTTTACCATGCAGAACCTTATCAGAGGCTTTACTAAAGTCCAAGTAAACAACATTTACCACTCTGCCCGCAACCTTTTTGGTTACTTCCTCAAAAAAACTCATCAAGTTTGAGACACACAATTTCCCTCAATTTCCCATGCTGATTACTATTCCTTGCCTCTTCAAATGCATGTAAATCCTATCCTTCAGAATCACCTCCAATAACCTACCCATCACCGGTGTCAGGCTCACAGGCTTCTCTTTATAGCCTTTCTTAAATAAATGCACAACATTACCTACCCTCCAGACCTTTGGCACCACACCTGTGGTTATAGATGATACAATATTTCTGCTAAGGGCCCTGCAATTTCCTCTGTAACATCCCAGGATGTTGTGGGAAACGCTTGATCAGGTCCCAGAGATTTTATCGATTTTTATGTTTAAGACCTCCAGCATTTCCTCTTCTGTAAAGAGAGCTGTTTTCAAAATATCTACTTGTTTCCGACCTCTCTAGCCTCCATTTCTTTTTTCTCAGTTAAAAACTGAGATGAAATATTCATTTAATATCTGTCCCATCTCCTGAGGTTCAACACAAAGACAACTTCATTGATCTTTCAGGGGCCCTACTTTCTCTCTAGTTGTTCTTTTGCTCTTAATGAACTTGTAGAATCTCTCTGGGTTATCCTTAATCTAATCTGCGAAGGCTATCTCCTCTTTGCCTTCCTGATTTTCCTCTGAAGAATGCCCCTGCACACTCTATATTCAGATTCATTTGATCCCAGTTATCTTTTTCTAATATACAATTTTTTTTATTCTTGGCTAGAACCCCAAAATCTTTATTCATCCATTGCTCCCTAATCTTAGCTGCCTTACTTTTCATTCGAACAGGAACAGAACACCTCTGAATTCTCATTATCACACTTTTGAAAGCCTCCCACAGACACAGCCTTCTATATTAAAAAAAAGCTAAAGAACTATGGACGCTGCAAATCTGAAACAAAAACAGAAATAGCTGGAGAAACTCAGCAGGTCTGGCAGTATCAATGGAGAGAAATTAGAGTTAACGTTTCGGGTCCAGTGACCCTTCTTCAGAACTCTGATCCCCGTGCTCCTTAACCCAGTAGTTTATTTTCTGAGGAGCATGTGACCAATTTATTCCTCCTACAAAAATTG